GGTGATGCGTGTATATCATTAGTACAATGTGGTGACGTAGTGCATTTTATTCCGGAGTATCCCAACGTCTTGCAAGCTAAGTCAAACTGTTTAAAACCAGTCGCTTACTTGGGACGTATACCCGCCGTGCTTAGCGGTAATGTCGTGATTAATAGCCGGTGGGTATCCGAAGACGTTCATCGTATTCTCTAATTGTAAAAGTGTAGATGTAACTATTTTTTTATTAACATCTGTTTTTTTTTTTGACTCTCTCTGTTCGCCTTTAATTTGTAGACGAGGTTTTTTGACCGTTCGGTTTTTACCTCGAATTAACTTAATTTTTTATTTTTTAATAAAGTCCCCTTAATTTAACTCAACTATCATCTTATTATTTTGCATGTTTCATCTTCAATGGACTCGTATATTTTTTTTATCTTTTTTCTTTGCAAAATGAACTCCCCTAGTTTATAAGGTACGGACAACGGCCTTGTATAAGGTCATTCCTGATCATTATGGTTATGTGACAGCTGTCACGAGATTTTGGTGTACATCTACTATCAACGACTCAACGGACATCAACTTCAACCTTTATTACTTTTCTATTTTTTTTATCTTAAATTGTTTTTAATGAACAACATTTAATTTCTTTTTAAAATCCTACTATGGTCCGACAATACATTGTCTCGCCCAATGGGTTGGCGACCATTTTCTTTTTGAATTTTTCAATGTGCTATGAAAGTTACAAATTTTCCGTTGTGGCCAATTAATGCAATTTTTTTTATATTTGTAACAGATATGTGGATTTTTTTTTTAATTTGATCGGGAACTTTGTATAAAAGTTAATACTTTATAATAAATAATTTATGTTAAATTTTATAAATTTTGGTCAGTACTTAACCGTGTTTCGATAGGGTTAAGGTTAAAAAAATGATGTTTTTGTGTTTTTTGCGACTACCTCCTAAAATATTAATAATTGAACAAATTATCTAATTATAAAATATTTTAGCTTCAATGCGAAGCTGAGAAGGTATTGGTTTTACTAAGATGTATTTTTTTTTGTGTCTGTTACCACTTTTTCTCAGGTCTCATCGAACCAATTTCTTTCAATGATACGTCAAAAGATCAAAAATCGTATCTAGTCGAAGACATTATCCTCAAAAATTGAAAAAAATTCCCTCGTTCCCCGTAAAAGGGGGAAACCTCCAAAAAAATTACAAATTTAAAAATCGCTAATTTTCGAAAGTTTTTCAATTTTTTTTACTTAAAAGTGCCATAACTTTTTCAAAAATGAACGTATCAATATAATTCTTTTTTATATAGATGCACGATATCATAACCTTTCATTTGGTATATTTTTTTTATAAATTTAACCCTTAACCTGCCCACAAGGGGGGATTTAAAATGACATTTTTTTCAAAAAAAATTAGTTTTTTTAACTTAAATTTTGAAAATGTTCCGGAAGGTCTGACACTTTTATATATATCTTAAATTAAAGCTAATGTAATATGCTTTATCATGAAAAAAAAAAATTTCGGACTTTATCTTATCTTCATGGTGAACATGGCTACCGAATGCTATTTTTGTGTGAAAATTTTCGATTTTGTATTTTCCATTTTTAACTTTATTATGCTATAACTTTTTGAAAAATGTATGAATCATTACAATTTTTTTATAAGAAATAATATTTATATACTTCTTTCATTCGACATACTGTTTTTTTAAATCGGACCATTTCCCTTAATACAGGGGGGATTCAAAACATAAAAATGCATATAGAAAGTAGAACTTTTTCAACGTAACTTTTGAAAGTGTTCCGGAAGGTCTGACACTTTTATATATATCTTAAATTAAAGCTAATGTAATATACTTTATAATGGTAAAAAAAAATTTCGGACTTTATTTTATCTTCATGGTGAAAACAGACATTAAACTTAACAAAAAAAATACGATTTTTGTAAAAAAATTATTTTTTATATTTTTAACTTTATAATGCTATAACTTCTTGAAAGATGTATGGATCAATATAATTCTTTTTTTTGTAGATGCATGATGTCTTTACCTATCATTTGGTATATTTTTTTTATAAATCTGACTTTTTACCTGCCTACAGGGGGGGATTCAAAATGACAACTTTTTCACAAAAAATTGACTTTTTCAACTTAAATTTTGAAAGTGTTCCGGAAAGTCTGACACTTTTATATATATCTTAAATTAAAGCTAATGTAATATACTTTATCATGGAAAAAAAAAATTTCGGACTTTATTTTATCTTCAAGGTGAAAATGGCTACCAAATGCTATTATTGTGTGAAAATTCTCAATTTTATTTTTTACATTTTTAACATTATAATGCTATAACTTATTGAAAAGTGTATTGATCAATATAATTTTTTTATGGGAAATACTATTTTCTAATAATCTCTTTTTTATTCGACATACTTTGTCTTAATCAGGATATTAATAAGGAACTAGCAGTTTATGAAGCTTTTGGAATAATCCACCAATTTTTTAAAATTAAACACTATCTAAAGATTTGCATCGAAGCGTTTTTTTTTGATAGTGATTTTAATCACTGTCAGATATCATTATACTTGATCCAACTATGCCACGTCACCACTGTGCCGCGACCCCCCTGTGCTGGGTTTCTTAAATTGATTTTACAATAATATTTGTAACTAATATATTTTTCAATATATTGTTGCAAACAACATACTATCTAAATTACTATCAGGGAAATCCAATACGTGGTTTGTTTTACATCGAAGAGCTGTACAAGACCAGTTATCCGGACATGTATTTAGTCAAATGAGTGTTGCGAACACGAGTGCTACGTTAAATGATTAGTACAATTCATTGATATCGAAAACCAATATCTCACGTCAATGATTGTCGATATATAAGGTATTGTGGCAGCTGATCGATCTTTTTTGGTCAAGGAACTGACTTTCATTGCTATAGACTGCATTTCTTTCGCTCATTGAATATTCAAACATCCGAAAAGTATCAAGGGCGATGCTAAAACAAACTTTTGGTTGAAAAAATACCTACATGGAATGTATACTCGTTGCGGTGACGTTAAATACAATGAGTTGCCAAGAATCTTAAAACTGAAAGTTCTGACTGTACGGAGTGTACAGTAGTGATAATGTGGGTAGAATCTTACCATTACGTACGGCTCCGATGACTATGCTCGTTTTGACGCATCGTTGCCATCGTCATCGTCTTCAAACAAACATCGTTTGTAATCGTCCAATGACGCATGGTTGCGGACGACGTGTCCGCGGATCCTCTTAGACTTGATGAGTTTGCTGCCTTCCATGTTATATTCGTAGCATGAATGTGTCACCATAATGAGGTTTTAATACGTCGTAGTAGTAATTGTACATTAGCGACTTGCTAATGTCAAGCACTGTTAAACCGACGTATATAGGTTTGATAAACTTGACAATCTTTGTGTTCATTATGACGGCGCACAACCTTTCACCGTATAAATATTTATCGAATAACCCACAAATGCTATAGCATTGAGCGTGCACTTACCAAAGACGGCATTATTCATTAATTTCAAAAGCATTTACAGCCTGTATCCGCATTTCAGTGTTAAACTCAATGTACTATTTCAATCAAGCACTCTGTTGAAACTCTAAAACATGGTGCACCTGTGTGATAAACATATTAATATCATACCTAATAGCTTTAGGTATGATGTATATACTTTATCGACTTGCAGTACGTGTGCGATCGCCTGTTTCAAATTGACATAGTGTATGACGTACTGTTGTTTGGGTTTCAAAGTCACCATGAGTTTGGTCTATTTGGAGCCCGGTGGTACGACGTTGCCAGGAAATTATGGCAAGTCGTTATGCTCGTCATGTAGCTCTTCTGGAAACGATACTTCATATATACGCTCCGTATTACCAGTGTCCAAAAGCAATTGGAGGTCAGCCAAATAATCTGTTACTTCTTACCAAAGGAAGACTCCGTACGGCATGGGCTGACTCATAGCCCAAATGTACAGGTTATTGCTTAAGTTGAAAAAGTTAAATTTTTGTGCACAAGTTGCTATTTCGAATCCCCCCCCTGTGAGCAGGTAAAGGGTCAGATTATCAAAAAATGTATATCAAATGAAAGGGAAATACCTAAGGTTTCAATATAAAAAATAATTATTTTGATTTGTTCATTTTTCAATAAGTTACGGCAATTTTTAGAAAAAAAAGTCGTAATTAACCGATTTTAAGTTTTTGGGGGATAATTTTGAAAATAGAAATGAAAGTAATTTTTTTTTGTAAAATTATGTGAATAGCTGTACATATTTATTTATAGACCAATACTTACAATGGAGTCTGGTGTAAATTATATATGCAATATAGGTGCAATTAGAGTATCATTTTTTAGAGGGCTTAAAGTTTTCTTCTCTCTTTTGAAAAGAGATGTGGTTTAGCTATATCTAATTAAATTTATGATTTGCTATTTAAAATGCTTAACAGTTTGATTTTTTTTTTTTTGCAGTTTTTTGTCTATGTCCCAGAAATGCGTATCACAAGGTAAATTTCTTTAAAACCCCCCGTCAAATTTATTCCTGCATGTGTATTAAATAGTTAAGTAAATATAACATTTGTATTGGTTTATCACAAAACTAATTAAAAAAAAATAGAAATAAAATATCATATGAGTACTTAAGTTTTCAATGTATTAGTCTATCGAGCTAAAAATATATATTTCCATTTTATTACATAAAGCTAGTACCCTTTTGTACATTTAATAAATGGTAAAAAGTAACATTTTTTCTAATATCCATAAAACTAGAAATCTAATTTAAAACAGCAATGAATATAATTCACAATATTTTCACAATAACTTAAATAGATATTAACATGTGTTATGTGAATGGGAATTCGTAATAAATTTAAGTGAATCTTATTACATATAGTGATAGGTATTGACTAAAAATAATGAAATGTACAAATGTTTTTGAATAAACAAACTATATTTCTATTTTCATACCAGCAGTGTATAAAACTCTTAGTTTGAATTGCACATTTTCTTCAATATTTTTTCAACTGTCAGGTATAGTTCAATCATGTCTTCATTCTACCATTCATTGTTTATTGCTTTATACATATTAGGTACTTCAGCGTCATTCCAGAATGATGAAAGTGGCAGTGACCAATTATCAACTCCAGTGAGAAAATTTAAGTTATTTCTATAACAATATTAAAATATAATAATTAATCTTGATGAATAATTACAATTTATGAAAACCAATGTCTAAATATTTTTATAAATATGGTAAATATATTATATATATATATATATCATATTTGTAAAAATAATTAATAAAACAATAAAGGATTTATTAAATTAAAAACTAATCATTTTTGAAAAAATAATAGTTAATTAAAAAAATAAAACAATTTTAATTTCGTACAAGGCAGATTGTTGGAGGACGGCTAGTTGTGCACCGCACTAAAATGCAGTTTTACCTTAAGCCTGTTTATATCACTAATATTGATGCAGAAAAGGGGTCATCTGAAAGGATGACGGATAACCGCACATCTAATAAGTAACGAGAGTAGACAATAATTAAATAACAAATAACTAAATATATTAGAAGTTCTTCAAAGAGTATCTTAAATTTAAGGGATAACGGGGGCCTCTAAATACTAATGCCCGTCGAAGCGGCATAAAACAATAAAGTAAACTAAACTAAAACAAATAATAAATAACATTAAAAAATAATTTAAAACTCAGCTGAATAGATGAAATTGTTGATAGTGATGAGTTGACTGTATGAGATCGTGTAGTAATAGTGTCGAACATTTGTGTATCACGAGTCAGAGAGTAGATCCAGGCACGTAATGGTAGATGAAAACAGACGGTGAAAAAACAACTACGGCAATAAAGTTATTTAGTGATGGTTAGGGCCCAATCACTGGAGCGTGCAAGGGGACGAGATCTTTGAGAACAAGGTCCAATGAACAAATAATAAGAATAACGGCGTACAATGACCGAACAATTTACCATTCAAACAAAGGCCCTTGTTACAAAAAAAAAAAAAAAAAAAAAAAAAAAACAACAAAAAAAAATTANCAAAAAAAAAAAAAAAAACAATAAATAACACACAAAAACAATTGACTCACTGTTTTACGACGATGAACTGTACACGGAGGCCATCAATTTACCGTGCTAGGTGGGCAAGGGTTGAGTAAAGTAAAGACACTAGAAATATATTGAACGTCTTTATATTTGTTATTGACAATTAAATTGTTCAATATAAATTCAACTTACTTGTTATCTTTGGTTTCAATAATTAAAAAATTAATAAACTTCTCTTAAAAGCTTAAGATGTTTAATGGCGTCACCTTGTTTACCGGTAGTTGGAAATTATCCATCATCGTAAATTGTTCGCATTGATTTCTGGTCGTAATAATATTATTTGTGTTGTATGCAATACAGCATTTGTTAATTTTTTTGTATAATTTTCTCTTGTAAATGACCGCTACAATTAAAATGTAAATTTATATCTCTTTACGGCTACAATAGACTTAGCTCAATTGATGATAGATCCATGCAGGATGTATTCAATAGAGTTATCTCCTGTAGTTTTTAATTTTCCTCTGTCTTCGTTTCTGAATATAAACAGATAAATGTTTCATACCAAGTCTCCAGAAGATTTTCTTCTTTCTATATTTGTGGAATCACCGAATGTAGTTCCCATTTTATTTATTAACTTCCTACCTTCAAATATTCTGAGTTAATCCTGTTTTTATTTGAGGCCTTATTATTGTGATGTTGTCACGTTAACATTATTGTGAGAATTACTCTAATAAAATACAGACAGCACATCCGCTTCTTGATACTGATGAATTAACAAATAATATCGATTGCCAAATTGGCAATAGTTCTAATTATTATAAAAACCCAATAGACCTGACCATCGTGGTCAGTCGACTCCAGTGCCTTGTGTCATTCATCAGTCTCAGTACTCGGTTGTCGCTGTCCGGCTTACTGCTTAAAGTAAAGTCTTTGTTTATTCCTTTTTAAACCTATCTACTCTCTTCCACAACATTTCAGAGTACTTGTGTCTTGCACTTCGTCTGTGCGTCATACCTAGGTGTTACCCTTATTCCCTTCCTATAACAACAGCCTTTCGACACCCACAGCTAACCCGGAGTGTCAGCCGAGCACGGTGACTGCTGTACGACAACACGCACGTGAATATCTAGACAGCAGGCACCACATCCTCATATTCATCTTCGTACACATTATTACATTTAGAATTGTTTCATTTCTTTTATTGTGTTACGACATTATTTTTCAAGATTTGTATTGCCAATTTTGTATCATCTATGCTAGAAGCAAGTATATCCTTGTCTACTCTATAATAAGCTTTAATTCCTTGATCATCGATGTCATTATATGATACTTTATTTAATAATTCTATGAATATTGCTTGAACTCATTAGCTAACATATCTAGACGAGATATCAGAGCACCATTTCATATACTAGCAATAATATGAATGGTATAAAGCCAGTTTTAGTTGTTTTTTACCTTTTAAATAATTCTCTTATATTGAATTCATATAAATTGATCTCTTCTATTCTTACTATTTCTGACATTCTTTTCTCTTTTCTAATTAACTTTGTCACTTCTTTCTTTTTGATCTCTATTATGTTTTTCGGTGTGAGTATTTGGATTGCCTTAATCCTAGAATTGATACGTTTCTGGATTCCTTTTCTACAACGTTTGCTGAACCATTTAATACTTTAAGGACTTTGTATGAATCGAAATACGCTCTCCGCAGTGTTTATTATTAAATTTTGTACATGTAGCATTTAACATAATAAATGTTTGTAATTCAATAAATACTAAAATTAATATTGTCATGTTAACATTTATAGAAGAAGAAAAGGACTAAATAATTTCAAATAAAATTTTAATTTTAAATATTTATTCTTTATTTTTTTCTTTAAAGAAATATGTGTTTATGTAGTAATTCAAATTTGTAAAAATTATAAAAAAATAAGTAACGCAAAATATTTTTTGAATTAAAAGTAGATAATATCCACTCAATTGATTGTAATTCTTTTAACTCAATGAGTACTTGACCTAAAATTAATATCCATCCATTAACATAAAAAGGAGTAAAAAAATATGGGTTTGAAATTTTAAAAATAATAAAAAAAAAACAAATTTTTTTTACTTTTTATTTTTTTTTTTATTAGTGATAATAAATAAAAAATCTTCTTTAAACGTAGTCTAAGCAGGCAATAATAATTTTTTTTTATGTCAACCAACGAATAATTGTGTCATAAGTTATAAGTGTTATCAGTTAGTTCTGCGATACTCTGTATACTGTATGTAAAAAAATATTCGGTCATCGTCTAAAAAATTAATTTGATACGCATATTGTCATCATCTTACAAACTTTAACTTATGACCAACACCATTAGGAAAATTTTTAAATAAGTGATTAAACTATACTTAAAACAATAGCAATTTAACAGGCAATTCATTTTTTAGAGGTGTCGAAATATTTACTTGACTAACTATATGTGGGTATGTTTAACGATGTAATACATGTATTTTTATAAATTACAATAATGGTCTAGCGCATAAAAGAGGTTATTTTTACGATAATAACTGAAAATATAGAATAAATGTCGAAAACGAAGTTTGTTCTTGTACTATAACATTTAAAATTACATCAATTTATAATATTTCAATATTTAAAATTTGCATTAATTCTTATGGCGAAAAACATTTTGAATTGATATCCAGAATTTAATTTAATCTAAATTATTATAATTTATTATCTCCAAAATTTTGCATTATAATTAGTTATTACTAATCACTTTTTTTTTAATGCTCTAGATAATCAACGTATTTATTTTCGTTAAAATATTTAATGAACAATAATAAATTATTTTTGTATAATCTATTGTAGTTTTGTAAAAATATTAACAATTCATCCAATTATATTGTTGTTTTCATGCTAAATGTGTCAAAGTTTTGTTTTCTTGTAATTTCGAGGAAAATATTTATTTTGTGTTTTATGTAAATTTAAAAACATAACATTACTTAAAATAAAAAATTAATTTTTTACGACCTCCAAATGTGATTGGGGTATATTTTAGTTTAATTTTATTTTATACATATACAAAAATTCAGTAAGAAAAAAATTACCATATCTATTTAAATAAATGACTTGAAGTTTGCAAATTTTCTTTATCAATTTTTAATGAATTTTATTATTATTATTTATAATACAGACTACCGAAGAGAAGAAAAACGAACCTTTTTTACCAGTTGACAAAGAATGGCAGATAGAAATGTGTAAAAAACTAAAATTTGAATGGGTAGAGCCATGTATACAAGAAAACCACGAATATTTTCTCGGTATTCCAAACAAATTAGTTAAAATAAGGAAAGATGGTAATTGTTTCTTTAGTTCCTTGTCTTATTGGATATCTGGAACTACAAAGTATGGCCAAATATTGCGAAAAAATATTATCGATGTAATAGTTATTGAATTTTTAATAATGACCTCCTTAATCTTAATAAATGCTGAAATCAATGTCTTTTAATTTTTAGTTTGCCAAAACTTCAGAAATATATAAGACTATGACGTTCGATGACGAACGAGATGAACGAATTGAAAAAATGTATAGGTCTGGTATGTACAAATATAATTCTAAATTTATGAGTTTTAAACATAAAGAAATTATTAGCTGGTGAATATTTTTGTCAACTATTCAGTATTTGTCTGTAGGTTGTATTCTGTTTATTATTATATTTATTTTAAAATAAATGTTGCATACTGTGTGATCAGAATTTAACGTTAAAGAATCGTCAATTTCCATTATTTAACCGAAATAGAGTGTTTATCATAAGCTAATAAATTTAATTATGTAAAATTCGTATTTTACAAAAAATACACATGTTAATACATAATATATAATACATATTTTTTTAAGGGAAACAGTTTTTTTTTATAAGTAATACTAGTAAAAAAATTAGGTTCAATATAGTTTTTGAGCTATTACAATTTTGATGAAAAGAATTTTTTTTATATTTTAGGATTTTACCCACTTTTAAAAATTTTTAACCAATTTCGCTATTTTTTTTTAACAATTTTTGTATTCTTAAAATGTTAACCTTTATTTGTTGTATATTATTGTTTTTAAATAATACAGTACGATCTGAACCCACCGGTGCTACTATCCAATCGATGTATTAAAATGTTTGTAACTCAATAAATACTGGTTTTATATTTGCTATGAACCCATTGATTAACCTAGGAGCCCTACTAGGCCGCACCTATATTTATTCAAATAGTTCTGTCTCTCTGGATAAGTTAAGTATCTCTTTGGGTTTTAGATTTTCTTCTTTTTTTCGGGAAAAGATTTTTCTAATCCAGTTATGGCTGTTGAAGCCATTCTTTGAATGCCTTTAAGTTATTTTCTGGCTGTATTTGCTCAATGAGTTTCCATTGAGTGGTTAGCCCTATGAACATACTTACCTTATTTTTTATTTTAACAAAGCACATTATTATGCCACCAGACTCCTTCAGAGATGATGGCCCCTTTGACATTAAGGGGTGCTATGATATTATTATTAAAGAAAAAGAAGGATGTTGCCATCACAGAGTATTATAATGAATGCTATAAAATACAATTCAGATATAAATTATTGTTTAAATATTTTATTGGGCATCTTCACTTACAATAAATTATGATTAAAAATATAAAAACCAAAATAATACATGAAATACAACAATTATGAATCGAGCCGACCTGGTCTTCTAGCGTGATTTTAACACCATAAAACATCACAATCTGTATCTACATTTAACAATGAGCTGTACCAGTCACGCGAATATCACTATACCACTGCATATGTTATCCATATTTTCTGTGACTGAAGAAACTCTGCTATTCTGGATATCCACGTGGTACAACATGAACACAAAAAACAATAAAAATACCAATATGACCCGTTGTCATCAAGGCTATGCATATTACTATGCCTACGACAAAAAAAAACAAACCGCTGACCTAGCTGTATGGATGTACTGCTGTAAACTTCTAAACATTTTTAGACATTTTTCCGGTGTGGGAGTAATAAGCTTGCCGTCAGCTGACCGTATATTTGTCTTAGGTTTAATCACTGAAGTGTATGTCAATACATCATTCGTGGCTTAAAGTTTCAGATCTTTCTAAGAGTTCTGCTGTATTTTAACAATGTACCCATGGCTTTTTTGACACTTGCCTGAATATGTGACTTCCATCTTAGCTTACTATCTAGAATAATACTTAATTATTTCACCTCTGACGTAAAACCAATTCTTGTCCATTCAGGCTAAATGTGTCAAAGCTATCAAGCCTTTTTCAAATTTTGTGGCTTTTCTTTAATGTTATTTTAACTTAAGAGATTGGTTAGTTTTATGAGGTGGTTAGATAATGTTAAAATAAGTTATGAGTGATTAAGTTGAGCATCAACAAGAAATATGAAAAAAATTGATTATTAGTAACTGAACGTCAACAAATTTTAAAATTATGATTAAATTTTGCAAAATAATTTTTATATAAGTAAAACACTTTTGAAATTCAGTTGCCTAAAGTTTTACCACACAAAGCATGAAATGTATATTATTAAAAACCCCTTCAATGTCTAGGAATATGCCTACTATATAAATTTTATCCTGTATAGCTTTGTCCACATTTGTGTTTTAATTATGTAGAGTTGTGTTAATAGATTTTCCTTTTTGGAACATCTATTGGTTTTTTTGTAAAGGGTTCTTCTTTAGAGGCCTCTCTTTATATACGTATCAAAAAATTTCTCCTAATTCTTGAGAAGAAATTAAGTGAGACTTATTGGTCTGTTAGATTTTGCTTTATAGTATTTAGGACGGTTAGGTTTAGATATAAATACCATCCTGACCTTTCGTCAGCAATCATTTAATAACCATAGGCTAGGCATCCTCTAAATAGTTGCAAAAATGGGGGTGATTAGATTTAGCCCTTCTTGTAGAAGTCCAAGAAATATTTCGTCACAGACAGTAGTCTTAAAACTGCTAAAAGATTTTATTGTCCATCTTATGGCACTTAGGGTTATTACTGTTCTCGTTAGCAGCTATTTAGCACAAGTCAAACGTTTGATCCGTATTTCATTTAGCTAATTTTTGTTATAAATTTCTTTGAGAATGCCTATGTAGGACTCCCAATGTAGTTCCAAACCAGATCATTGATAACTTTTTATTAATTTTGACAAGTTAGCATTCGACCAAGCTACACCTTGTCTTATGTATTTTTTTTCTATCAAAAGTTTTTCTTGTACTCTGAAACCATGAAATTTTGAAGGACAGTTTTGGCTGATTCAGTGGTTTGTTTTGATCCTTATATAAACTATATGTATTTCAGGTCATAAGAAAGGTTTGCACTTTTGTGGTTCCTATAGTACTCCGTATAAATTTGGCCGACCCTAAGTAGTTGGGATTAAAGCGAGAAAAAAGAAGAAGAAAATAATTTTATTAGATAATGACTTATATAGTAACTCAAAAATGGAATTCTATAATATATTGATTTATTTGATTGGATAGTTGTTTTGTATGAGCATGAGAAAGATTGAGTGACTATGTTATGCTGAATAAAATGATATAATTTTCTCTCCGAGTATGAGTGCGAGGGTTTTATGAAAAAATATAAAATATAGAAAAACAAAGTGTTGTTTGAAAATGTATTAATAATATAGTATAATTTGAAATAGAAATTATTGTGATTTATTATCACACTTTAAATATCAATAACACCACTCGTACCAGTAGTTATCTAAGCTTGTGCTAACTGTGAATCGTGTTAATAAATACCTCGAGTAGTATAGGAACCACAAGTGGGCTCTCTATCTTCGCAAGAGAGTCTTTATTCTTATTGTCCATTTAAGTAACTCACTCATAGATTAGAGTAGGCTGATTAACTTCGTACAAACTTTATTGATTTTTTTTATTTAAACAATATTTTATTTTAGTAGTCACTTAATTTTTCTTATTCGATATTTTATTTATGTGCTCATTATATTAAACTTTTGTATAAAAAATTTACCTTCTAGATATAATAAGCAAGATTGAAAATAAATAAACTACAAACTATTCGTAAATTTATAATGTATGCCAAGTCACTTCTTGAATTTGTTGAAAGATCATAAAATATATGGTATAGTTTAAAAGATTGAAGTGAATAATATATAGACTACTAAATAATGAGTAGTGTGTATATTATAACATCAAAATACAAAAGCTTGATTTGTTGACTGTTTGTAAAACAGTTTAAAGCCTTTTAAGTTTAGTCTCTTGATCTGTATACCATGTAGACATAATTCCTGAATAAGATCTATTTGCACGGATGTTTTATACCTCTCAGTTAGGGTTCTTAAAAATACACTACTGGTCCCTTTTGTGATAAAAATTTATTTACGAGAATTATATTATGTTATCACACATTTAGAAAAACTGATGCTGACATTTAAAAATACTGGCTAGTTAGAGTGTAATACAAGTTTTATTTACAATCCCTGTATATCATAACCTTTAATGTGGTGTCGTAACACAATAAAAGAAAAGAGTAAATGTAAATAGTTATGTGATACGAAGATGAATATGAGGATGTGGTGCCTGCTATCAGGTATTCACGTGCGTGTTGTCATACAGCAATCACCGTGCTCGGCTGACACTCCGGGTTAGCCGTGGGTGTCGAAAGGCTGGTGATACAGGAAGGGAATCAGGGTAACACCTAGGTATGAGGTGCAGACGAAGTGCAAGACACAAATACTTTGGGTATAGGAGAGAATAATGAAGTACGAGGTGCAGACGAAGTGCAAGACACAAGTACTCTGAAATGTTGTGGAAGAGAGTAGATAGGTTTAAAAAGGAATAAATTAAGACTTTACTTTAAGCAGTAAGCCGGACAGCGACAACCGAGTATTGAGACTGATGAATGACACAAGGCACTGGAGTCGACTGACCACGATGGTCAGGTCTATTGGGTTTTTATAATAATTAGAACTATTGCCACTTTGGCAATCGATATTATTTGTTATTTCATCAGTATCAAGAAGCGGATGTGCTGTCTGTATTTTATTAAAATAATTCTCACAATAATGGTAACGTGACACCATCACAGTGGGTTGTTCCTTAAGAGTGCATTCTATTTTTTCATAGAGGATATCCCTTTAGTTTGGGTCGTCACTGAAAATAACGGTTTAAATGGATCATAGGATCCTATGACAAGTTAGCAACCTTTTCACAAGGTATGATCGGGATAGATTTGTTGTTAACAGTAGATATATCTAGGCTTACTAATCCAAAGTCACGANGTAGATATATCTAGGCTTACTAATCCAAAGTCACGACCAACTAAGATGGATGTAATAAACCAAAAAAAAAATTATAAAAAGAAATAATATATAGTTTTTTAAAAGATAAATAAAATAATATGAATGTAAAGGTTAATATAAATGGATAAAAGGGGTAAAATTGTGGAATGAGTAAATATAGATATCTCAGGGTTGAATAGTATTAATTAATAAATTATTTTAAATATCCCAAAAATTATATAATTTTTCTTAATAGTTTATTAATCAATATATTATTTGAGGTTTAAAAGCATAGGTTAAACTGTT